AAAAATCCTTCAATTTCTACTAAAATATATTAGAATGAACCGGAAACACAGCGGAGTTACGAGATCAGACGACGAGCCATGTTCGTCAATAAATAACATCTTCACCATCCACTTCTGGGCAGCAAAAAAGGGCTTCGTGTCCCCTATTTGTAGTTCATCGAGGGAAGAACGTAACCGCAACTAAATGGAAGTACAAAAATGGAAGTAAAACAATAATTTGAGAATGTTAAGAAACACGACCACACATGTTGGTCCACGACCACAGCACACTTACCATTAGAACAAATGGAAATTAGCATTGCATTCTCACCACATTTTGAGTAAATATCAGTGAAAGCATTTGAAGATTGTGAGTTGCAGAAGAGTAAAATTTTACCGTTGGTCTTGCCGTACACCGATCGCTGGGAATAGAAAAGCATCAGCATTAATTTCCATTGTACACTCAAACAACTTCCAGGATACAGTTTGCAAGAAGAAGCTCATCACGGCTCATACCATTGCTGAACGCCTGAACAAGGCTTCTCAGCAGCATCATCGGTAACCAAATGTTAAATATCCAGAACTTACAACGCATGGAGCTTGGAAGTGGTTGCTGTTACCGATGCAGTGATGTTAACTTCGAAAAAGTTTTCTCAATGGAGTTGCACGAAATATCGTTGAGGGTACTTGTACTACTCCAGTACTTGATCGGTGAAGCATAGCGTGAGCAACAAAAGCAGCGATACCGGACAATGGCTACCATCCCTGACGCACTCAATTGACTTCGATCCAACTTATTTCCACATTCCGGACAAAATCGGAACAGCCTTGTGAGCATTTCTCCTTGTACAAGGTAGTATATACTGGATGAAGAGGGCTCGGTCTCACCGATGGAGTCCTTGCATAAGGCAATATCTTTGTTAGAGCTCGCAATCATGCTAGTAGAAGGCTTGGTCTCATTCAACGAGTGGTCCGTGTATGGGGAATTATCGCTGTTGGAGCTAGTGAACAGTCCGGCTGCTGTGAGCTCATCTCCACGCATAGGACGCACATGCGAAATGCCACTGCTGCAGTTCTTTGGCTCACGGCAGTGTTGGTGATCGTGAGTGGTTGTACTCACTGGGGCTGCCGACAAACGTACGGCATGAATTGGTCGACCCTAAAGCAATACGCTAAAATTCAGTAAAAAAAAAACCAATTCTACTCTCCAACTAACCATCGTGACTTTCACTGAAGGTAAGCTAGCGCTATTTGGCAGGTGCGAACGACCCAATGATGAGCTCTCTTCATCTCCTGCACGCTGGCTCTGGCTATTCACGGTGTTCTCCGGCGGCTGCAGTGAACTTTCATCTGGACATCGGCTTTGACTACTATCGGCTTGTTCAAGCGGCCACAACGGAGTAGCGTAGTATCGCCGAATACACCCGTTCATGAACTGGCAAACATCGCTTTTTGTAGCAGCTCCGTCAGCCTAAACAAATAGTTACAAGCACCAATCTCAGATGAGATCGAGTCGAACAACGTATTCTGTTAACGAAATGGAGTAGCAGTAGTCAGTATGACGCGCTAGAGCTTCAGAAAAAAGAGATCATGTCGGCCAATGTGAACTAATGGACGAGAGACCTCAGGCACATCCCATGGTCTGCATCGTGAACTACGACCTGGCGGCTAATTTAAAATACGCGCGGTCAGTGGAGTCATGGAGCAAGCAAGTTCGGATAACTCGTACAGGCCTATCCCTCTTTCCATTTATACCGATGGCTACGATGTCGGTCAAGCTTGACAGACGGGCAGACTGTCCTGTGGGACAACTTCGGTCAATGGTGTCTAACAGCACTATAAGCTAGTCAAATCATATGAAAGCCGCAATTTTTTATGTCAGTAAATGTTTTGACAGTTGAGCTCACTTATTTATTGGCATTGAGCACTTATGTCTGGGCTACGACGCTTCCATTTGAAACATTTCTGTAATGACATTACAGCATTAACACGTTGACAACCGTGTGGTATGATGTCATACCAAACTTTTACATGGACAAGCTAGTTTTCCTAAATCTATTTGGCGTTTTCTCCTGTTCCACCACAATCCATGTACATTATTGATCGAAAAAACAACTTTTTTCATTAATGATAATTAAAACGCTAAGGAATAATGCCTTTTGGTGAAAGATTACGAAAAATGCTGAAGCAGTACGCGCACAACTGTGGTCGTCAACGTGTCAAGTCAATGCCCAAGGTCCACCTTTCGCAGCTTTCGGGGCGCTGTCAACGCTCTTTTTATATAACCGCAATTCATTTGTTTGCAGCAGGAACACGAGAGCGCATTTAGTAAGAAATGTAGCCATTTTGATACCAACTTTACCCGAAGGATAGCAGGTGACCTCGTGAAACCTGAAGAAATTTCTCGAAGATATTACAGTTTTGTAGTTTGAATCTTGATATGAAGCAAGCGGTCATACCTGCTTGCTTCATATCAAGATTCAAAAATACTCAAAGCTCGTCCCCAGCGTGCACAGCAAAAATGCCGCTCGTCGTCAACGTGTCAGAAAGGCTTCATCGGTGGTTTGCTTTGCTTTTTATTTTGATTCCAGTCTACTCGGCATCCGCAATTCCATTATCGACCTCTGTTGCTCCACCATTTGATCTGGGGTTGTTGCTTTGATATAGTTTAACTATTAGAATAAGAGATTCTAAAATTCATTGCATAAGTTTGCCTAGGAATGAAACTCTTGGAACCCAAGCGACGACGGTTTGGGAACAAACTCTGCCTCATATAGTCTGACCATGCCGCGCGCCTTCCGCTCATACAAATACAAACAAACCACATGTGATCAGAAAAATTGGATTCAAGAGCATAGATTAGCCTTCTCATGAAGTGGTCCATATATTAGACAAACGATACAAGAAACGAAAAATGGAATGCAACTGACGCATACCTAATATCCGTCCCTAACACAGCGTCATGAAGCTCATCACTGACTTACAGGCTACAATATAAGAGACAGATCACAGTGAAATATTTCTTCTGACGCATTGACGACAGCGCGAGAAACATAAGTCAATATTTTTGAATGAAAGAGCCTCGTTTTGCTTAATTATGCCCACATTGTCATGCATCAAAACTGTCCTCATTCATTATCGGATTTAAAAAATAATACACTCACTACCTCTAATAAAAAAGATGGGTAGATGCGCAAACAATGGCATGTCGTCAACATGACGAGCTCCTTAAATCTCTTCCGCTACCAAAGCAGCTCGTAAAGCTTACGCTTGAAGTGTTAGCATAATAAGTCGTCCAGTATCTATCTACTGTTTTACATTATGCTTGCAGTTGTCGAAAGCATGATAAAACGCGCAGAAATTCAAAAAAATGATAACTTGCGGCTTCGGCAAAAATCAATACTCAAGTAAAAACGGAAGCAGAATTAGCGTAATTGATGCAAGACTTGAAGATATATACCTACCTTCATGGCAACCAAAAAGTCGTTCACTAATTTCACCACCTTAGATGGTATTTCGTATACGGTCACATAAGCCTTTCCTTGAAAATTTTTTCGGTCCCTAAATTTAGCAAGCGATTTCCCAATCGATTCCATCTCGGTGGCTATATATTGCGCCTGAAAGAGTCAATATTGATACCGAAGAACAAAACAGTACCAAGATAGCTTCGTATAATGTATTTTTTTTTTTTTGCAAGTTTATCCATGGTTGCGCATGGAGAAAATGATTCGTTTTCTCACAACCCACTAACAGGATTTTGAGCGTCTTGTGCTTTAAGTGACAGCGCTATCTCTAACTCATTAGGCCGCCTTCTGTGGTAGTTTCCTTAGCGCCCACTGCCAAGTGGTGGGACACCAATTTCCAGTACAAGCATACGCACTGAATTCCTTTCTATGATATTCACCTACTGCCCGGAAACATGACATATTTCTATCTTTGTGTCACAGGGAGTGAACTTATTTCACCTTGAAATTTCAATATTACGAAGATATGGAACTCACCGCTACAGCATAATGACGACCGCACAGAATCTTTCCGCCTTCATTGCAACTGTCGTAAACAGCTTTCGCATTCAAACGACAACACCCAGCTGCCGATAAACTTGCGAACAAAATCGCATTGTGCACTTGTGACGGAGACGAAGTCCTAACTCTCTCCGTGGCATTTGAAGTTCCCACATATAGCGCATACCGGCGTGGGCTCCTCTATAGAGTTTATAATCGAAGAGATCTCCTTCTTGAAGTCTGAGGGTTTTTCAACCGCATGGAACTCAGTCCCATCCTCGGTATCCATGTATGAGCCGACACCACAGCTGGAGCTCGTAAATTCAGGATAATGCTCGTCTACAGTGAGAGATGAGGTACCCTGAAGGAAAATAGTAAGTTTGATGACCACACTTTCCCTTTTCGAAATAGGAAAGATTTGCATCGAAAACAATATTAACTGTCTGTCTTATAGCAAAACGTTTGCTTCGACAACTGACCGTGACTACTTCCGTTTTAGGCATAAAGTTATCTGGCGAACGTGATTGACCCGAAGAAGGGCTTTCATCAATATCCGAATAAGGATCCTGACCCTCATCGCTTTTCTCAGACGGCCACAACGGTGTGGAGTAGTAACGCCGCAGACCTATATTCATAAAATGACAAACATCCTTCACTGTCACAGTACCGCTAATCTGAAAATTACGCGTCAGTACAGAATTACGTGAGCATCATTGTGTCATTCAAAGAATGAGAAACTTACATTCTCGGCAATCATGAAATCGTTCACGAATTTGACAATATGAGACGGAATATCGTTCTTTGTCACATATGCTGCACTTCCGGTGGCTTGTGGGTTTTTGAAAGGCTGAACCTGCTTCCCAACTGATTCCATCCCAGCAGCTATATATTGCGCCTGCAAACGGTTTGAAACTCACGGAAATGAAAGAAACTCTGTGCAGGATACTAGTAATTCTCTGATATCAGCCTAAAAATCAGCTCTGCAGAACACAAAAAAGGCGGGAATGGGAAAAAGACGATCAACATCGCGTTTCCCGAAAGTCTCCATCAAGAAGTCATCCTCGACAAAG